TTTGTCCCCGATGAATCAATATTTTGGCAACGAGCCCGTGCGAGACCGTAGACAAGAGTGGAGAGATGCCACGGTGGGGTCACAGAGAGCTCCCCACTCAAAGGAAGCTCAACAGATGGCAGAAACAGAACGAAAACAAACGGCAGCAACCTGTTCAGTTTAATAGTTGCACATGAAGAATGGAACGTCTCGTTATCTTGACAGTGTCTTGTTATTGTTATCAGCGTCGTGGTGATAAAGAGGGGAGTCACTGTGTACTGATAACTATTACTGTAGTACGTTCCCTGTTCGATGGAACAACAAATGGCTTTTCACTAAAACCTTATTGTCATCTTAATGGATGGCAATAATTGCATGATGACTGTATAAAGGGATGCCCCTCGGCCTTACGCTGTAACAATCGCACCGCTAAAATGTTTCTCGAGCACAAATTACCCAGCAGATGGCAGTAATATAACTAAAACAACCGCAAGGCTGCTATAACATCCAAAAGAAGACATAAGTGTTAAAGATAAGGGAATGTTAAGCTAAAAGGTGGACAGTCATATTTATGACTTGTGTAGTGTTAAATAAAGCTTTTTTTTGCCTATGAATAAAACTTTTTTTAAGCATATTTTGAATTGATTTTCTTACGTACAGACTGGAGTTAGTAGTTGTTTTTTTTTCACAAACGTGAGTACAGTCAGTCCACAGGACATGGTCATCTTGGCTTATCAGGCTATAACTATCCCTGGTTAGGTGTTGTAATGATATAAAGAGGTTAATCACTAAGCAATATTTGGTACCTGCTCTTGAGGAAAAGGGTTTTGCATTTATATATAAATCAAAAAACACTGCACTCAGGTCCTGAAACACGGCATTCAAACTGTGTTATGGGGAACATGTCCTGCAAAGATGGGAGCAGGAGTACAGCCTGTTGGTTTATAAACATGTAAGCAAGAATTGTTGCACACTATACCTTTCAAAACATACAATTCTGCCCAAAGCTGTTCTGCTGGTCATTTATACGTCTATGTCTGCAGGTGAGACAGTGCAGGTGCTGCATCACACCGTACTTGTGGTGGGTTTATTTTTGAAATGTTCAGAAAAAGCCACAGACGATCACAGACGATCAGTGGGAATCCTTTTTTCAGCATCAGGTGTTAGTCAGTGACCTCGACCTCACTTCAGACAAATGAGTATAAAAATACCCTCCACGGAGGCTGGAGGGTTCACCAGACGCTTCTCACTCCACCATTACTTATTCTGATGTAGGAGCTGGTGTCATTACACACCGTCTGCTCCCCAATTCTCCTCCTCCTCCTCCTCTTCTTCACAACAGAGGGCACACACATACACCGACAAACACAGGCACATCTGTGACGATTAAATTACACGCAACAGTGCGAATCTCTCGGAGCTGCTCAGACCGAGAGGCAGAGGGATGACTGATGTATCACCGACAGAATGACCTTGTGCTTTTCTGCACAGGTCATCGTGGTTGTTAACATGCACACTGAATCCTAATGGAGTACAACAAGTGCCAAGTGGAGAGTCCGACAGACGGCCACTGCCACTGCTACCTTGCCTGAATGCAACACCTTCTCCTCTGCCCTCCAGGGGCATTTAAGTGGTGAGAAGCGGACACGCACCAACGTAGCACCATCAGCTGGTCAGAAATGACCCCGGCATCACTGCTTCAACATCAACATCATGACCCACTCAAGGGCATCCGGCCCACAGCGGCTGATTTTTTTTTTCTCTCACCTTTGCTGCTGTCTTCTTCTCTGTTGAGATGCATGACTCTTCTTCTTCTTCTTCTTCTTCTTCTTCTTCTTACAGTGCTGTCATCTAGGCTGTCTTCACTTCTTGCAATGCCTTGCTCTTCTCCAAAGAGTTCAGGAGATCAACTCTTATTCCAGTGTGGGGATCCTTCTGTTGCCTGACTAGTATTGTCTTGGACGTCTGGAACGCATGGACGCGCGGGCACTTGTGCGTCCTCCTCCTCTTCCTCCTCCTTGTCCTCGTCTTGTTGTGCTGGAAGCTAGAACAGGTAGTCTAGGTGATGTTAGGACTCTGCATGGATTTCCTCTCCCCCTCTCTCTCTCTCTCTCTTACCCCCTCTCTCCCTCAGAGAAGAGTGGCTCCAAAGGATGGTGGCAGGCAGTGTGGTTTAATAAAGGGAGGAGACGGCGGACAGACGGGCGGGGTGAAGGAAGTAAGTCGGTGGGAGGTCGGTCTGCTCAGCTCAGCTGAGTCGCGGAATCCGTGCGTCCTCCGTGCCGTTGCACATTTCACCTGCTCCTTGTTTTCAAAGCTTCACAACAAACCGACACATTGCGCGTCCAATTGCACTTGATGCGCATCCCACTGAGCGCGCCGGAGCAGAAACAAGTCGATGCATTTCTCACACACGTGTAGAGGTCATGCTCGATGGTATACTATTGATGACGTCCCCTTCTCGGGGCGGGCTGTAAGCACCGTATTTGACAACAGCTGTGACAGGCAACAGTTTCTAGTGATCAGCATCACTTCATTTGAAGAATATTCAGGTGCATCTCTGTCAAAATGAGAAGCGCAGAGGAAACTAGAAAATCTCTCCCTGTGCTGTGAGCTCTGATGTGATTTCACATGATTTTCCTCCCAGCCATCAGATCTCACCACGAGTCGTGATTACAGCGGTAATTTCCCCGTGAAATCAATAATCATCCGCACCCAAGCGACAGTGTCTTTACACACTACTTGTAGACTCCGTTCAGTGTCACTGCGAAGCCCTGGTGTGTTTCTGTGTTTTCTCCGTGTCTGTCATCAACACATGGTTTGTGTGTTTTCTCTCAGAGCCCATCGTGCCTCCAGCACCACCGGGCCTTCACACTACAGTGGATCATTTACTCGCCATTCACGTTCACCCTAGCCATCACGCACATCACGGCTCATTGGCGGTCTCTAGTGTCAGATATGTGTCAGTGAAAGTGATATCAAACTTGGTTCAATAAACCAGGGTGGCAGGATCAATAGATGTGGTTATTATGACTTTATTTTATTTATTTATTTTTAAATATTTTCAATCTGTGTATTTGGCTGCTGTACATGCTATTCCACCTCGCCATTTACATCGTTACCCATGTCCTCCATATTTAGTCTTAAACCCCCCTGGCAGAACTGAAATAGTTCGAATAATACTTCATTCAAAAGGAAATAATTTAGAAACAGAAAACATTTAGAAATACAAAAACGTACAGTACATATTTAGTTTATCAAGTTTACCTGTCCATAGGCAGTATTTGATGGAATGTTTGGTTTGGATGCAACATTCTGGTGAAGATGCTCCTATATTGTAGGTGAAATTCAGGAAAAGAAAATCAACGTTAAAACTAGGTGTGGATGTTTGTAAATAATGTTAGGAATACAGCAAGTGGAAATTACTGGAATGTTTCTTTTTGTGTCATAGATCTACACAGTAAATACACAGAATATGAACAATGTGGATTTTGAGCACAGCAGATACCAAGCCCTACTTGCCATGTGTGAAGTCATGTCAATTAACTAAGTACACAGGGCAATAAATCAAAAGACATAAGACACAAAGTGCTTTTCCTGTTCCAGAGGCCAACTTCACATCACATCACTTCTCCTCCCTACACTGACATCCCTTTTATCTATAACTATCACAGTGATGAATATTTATTAGGCTGTCATGTCCTCTCTGAATTCAGCCAACAAGTTAATCAGCACGACGCCGGCCGTGCTTTCATCCTCCACTGGATGTTGCTTATTATGGAAGTGCAGAAACACACGAGCTGAGGTTTCACAGCCGTCATGTTCAAATCAATCTTAGCATAGATATAAACAGTAAATCATCACTATTCTTGAGAGAGTACTGAGGGATACTTTTTAGACCTTGGAAGGTTTCACACACTGACTTTTAGCAAAGTAAAAAAAAAATAAAAATAAGCACACAATCCAAGCTGAAAATTCTCCTGCAATAGATGCATTAAGGAAAGAAAATAATAGAGAACCAAAGCCTACAGCACTTGTAGCTGTTACATAATCCACAAAAGAACCCTTACAGACGCTGGAGTGTTTGTCATTACCTCTGTTTAACAAAAATAAACCCCTTTATTATTTTTTTTGGAATAATATCAGGCCACTTGGGCAAAATGCAATTATACTGTCATATTTGTCCCAGTCCTAAACAGACAGCATGGAGAAGTGAAATGAAAAGTGAATGACAGTTAACAAAAATGAAAGATAAACAGAGTGATACAAGCTTAGCTTTTATTTTAAAAAAAGACACCATGAAGAAAATAAAAAATAATATTGTAGCTTACACCAGAAAATATCACCAGAAGCAAATATCCAAAACATACAGTACAACAGGTTATTTACCTCAACTAGTGGTTCTACATGAATAATTATGATAAAACGTTTTTGTAAATATAGTCAAAACAAGTTAAATCCGTCAGATAAAGCCTTGATTTAAGCAGGAATTAAAGACCAGGCACTAAAATTGAAGTTAACTTCTCACCATTAACTAGAAAAACAACCCCACAACAAGATGTCATGTAAGATGTGGTGTATTTTATGTAATAGACACTAGAGGGTAGCATTGGGCTAATAAATTGATTGTGTTGATTCAACCCTTTCGCTAAATTAAGATTTTAACGTCAATAATACACTTTTTATATTAAATATTTACTATGCAAACTCTAACACAAACTATAATTATACATTTTCTCTGTAGTCCAATATAATAATTATTTTTAGTTGTCTCTATGACTGCGCGTGTCTCTAAAGTTTAGGGAGACTCGACAAATTAATGTAGGTGAAACCGTCCAGTCTAAAACGGTGTCACCTGTGGTGATTGGTTGCACGTGCGTCCAGTGCCTTCCCGCCGTCCGTACGATGGCTGTGTCCTCTACTGTCTCCTCGTGACCTTGTCTTCCTGTTACGTTACATTGTCATCTCTGTTTTGTAATTTGTCTCTGGTCTCCATGTTTTTTAAGCTCTGGTGTATGGATTAATTTATTTCTATTTGACGTTTATTATTATTTTTGTTTGTTTTTTAATTTAGGTTTTGAGTCATTCAAACCTCTCCAGGTAACCTGCTCGAACCAGGGAGCCTTTAAAGGGACATGGGGGGAGTTTCCTGTGAGTTTCAGGTGAGAACGTAAACGTCTCATTAGTGAGTAAGCGAACATCTTCTTTCTTGACGTGCAGTCCACTCTCATTGTATCTTGTGCACATCCTTCTATACCCACAGAGCTGGTCAGACGTCATCTACTCAAATGTGCTGTCAGAGTCATTACCCTGGACAAAAAGCACTGTTGTTTTAGATGGGAGATTCAGATGAAAGTAAATTGTACAGTTAATTTTGAAATTATCGAGAAAAATTAAAGAGCCCAGACCCAACAACATACCCACTCAGAGTGACCTGACACTTCCACTGGACATAGTTATGACACCTATGACATTAAAAAGGAGTCACTAATGTTAAACATGTTACGTTGTTACTTTTATTAATCTAACCTTTCTTTTTGAAAAAAAATATTTTATTGGCCTCAAACAAAAATATTTTTAATTGCTAAATTTCGGGTTTTCATCAGCTGTAATTTCTAATCAAAATCAAAAGAAATAAGCACCTCATTGTATATCTAATGCATACAATGTGTCAGTATAATATACACGTTTCGGTTTTCGGCTTGAATTGCTAAAGTAATCAACTTGGTGATGTTATTGTTTTTAATATGAACCATGTTGTTTACAATCTCTCTGACAATAAAAAAAAAATTGTGTTGATGTGCAGGAGGCTGCAGGGTGGCGGCGGTGCGTTCAGGGACCAGACAACCGCAGTGGGCGCAGCTTCTGTTATACACGTTGCGGGGCGCTGCTGTCATCAGGCTCAGTGTAAAAAAAAAAAAAAACGTTCGAAAGGTTCCAGTCGATGACGCGCACAGTGATGCTCCAGCAGGCAGCTGCAGCAGCATCCGACACTGAAGTGGACAGAAGGTGACTGATCTGCGTGTAAAAATCTCCAGGTAAGACACAATTCTATTCAAATATTATCGGATCCGGGTTATGGTCGCCAATGGATTAGTTTGAGCCGTAGTCTTCCTCCTCCAGCAGAAGCAGCGTTTCAGGATGCTGATCCCTTTGACTGGGGATGGTGTAGCATCGCCCTCGTTGCTGGTGATGATTATACCAGAAACGGGTTCTTATCTCGAAGGTCTGCTATATTTTAAGCTTCATTTTAATGAAAATAATTAAGAGCTGATCTTCGTTTCTAAGTGTCCACACCTATCGATTTAATCAGCGGAGAATCGTTCATGCGCGTCCCAACATCGATGTCTGAAATAACACACACTTTTTTTTTTTAATTTTCTAAATAGTTTTTTTCTACGTTCCTTTTGTATCGTTTTGCCTGAGGAAGGTCATACATTTTTAAGATGGACATGGACTTCTCTTCATAATTTTCAACCTTGATGACATTCTTATCTATTTATTTATCTGTCTATCTATCTGTCTGTCTATCTATCATAAATAAATTGGAGTCTTCCTATGTCGTATTACAGTGATAACTTAGGGTTAGGGACAGCAGTCTGTGTTCTGTTAATGTCTATGGACAGTTACTTCACATCTCGTAAGAAATTAGGGCTTGCTGTCATTAAATTTCATAAAACAAGAAGCAACTATGAAGCTGAGGTTACCCTCCTTGCCAGTAGATGGCAGGATGAGAAATTGTATTGCGTTTTTTTTACTCTAATAATGTCTAATTATGAGTACTTTATCTGCAGATTTTTTCCCCTGCCGCTCTGTTTATTTGCCTATGTTTGGACCTCCAAGTGGACATTCCAACAGTACTCAGCTCCCCAACTGGAACCCAACCTTAAAGCGTCTGATCAGGGCGTCACTGTGTATCTGTGGCTCCACAGAATGTTGAAACGACCAACGACAGTCTGAACGTTGTGACAGTGTGTCCTAAGACTAAGTTAAAATTTTGGTGTGGTAAATCCTAACTTCTTATTCTATTCTAATTAAACCCGCAGTATGTGATACAATAAACTTGGCATCAGTTGCAGTATCTATTGCCGCAACTCAAAACCAAACAGGTTTAGCTAAAAACCTATTGTAAAAAATAATGTATTTTTGTCAGTAGAGCTGGTGCAGTACTGTACTCTCTGGTGCTTGGCCCACGGTGTACCAACATGAGCGTGTACCAGCCACGGGTCAGTACAGTTGTTTATACACATTGTTCAGAGGCTGCTCTGCCTCACCATGCTGTGCTCCATCCATACACTGTGTCCTCACCCAGTCACGCTGAATGGCTTTCAGTAACTACTGTCTGCTTGTGATACCGTTTAGCCTTTTTGACCTTTACAGTCAAAGCCCCACTGTGCCTCGAGTTGAGTCAGTCCAGAGTAAAACGTGTGGAATATGATACTCTATGTAGTAGGTCACAAACAGATGTTTGAACCATGCAGCTTGAAACGTGTTTTAGTAATATTGAAATGCAGTATCAAGAAATAACTGAATACGGCAGGTTGTTTTTGGTTTGTTTGTTTTTTTCATCAAGAAAGCCGTAGTAGTGACCTTTTCTTCCACTTCTGTCTTTGCTCCTATAATGTACATTGATCTCTTAATGATCGTAGGCCTTTCTGCACACCAGAAGCACTTTGTTCTGTGTACTTTATTTGCATGCTAATATGCTCACATCGACTGTGCCCGGTCAATGCTAGCTTTAATGTCAGCGACTTTATTTCACTGCATTCCAAGTAGAATGATCTTATTTTCAGTTTATTTATTTATTACAAATGCACATATTGTTTAGTCCTCCTCAGGTGCCCCTCCTCACATGTTTAGCATCTTAATACTGTATAAATCCTCAAATGTTTCCACTATTTCTTTTCATTGTAAGGAATTTAAATGACTGCGAACCAGCTTTGAATCACAACCGTTTTTTTCTGGTGATCCTCTGTGATTTTGGTAACATTCATTTGTGCTGCTGCATATTCCCTTTTATTATAACTATAATTTTATGGGTTATTTTTGTGCCATTGTGCCAATAACAGGTAGTTTGTGCAGTGGACAATATGGAGCTGGCAGACAGAGCATGAGAACAAAAGCTGTTGTTGCAGTGGAAGAGAAGAGTGATGAGCGGGGATATTATGGATGAGGGACGCTCATATAAACTAATGTAAGGCTGTTAGCTAATGTGAGGGGCCCCTGGAGGGCCATGATAAAAACCTGAAAGACCTCGGAGAATGCACACAGCATGTTGACTGGCTGTTGTGTTGACAGTGAAGCTAAGCTAATGTTGTTTCCTTATGTCTGTGTCATTTTTAGGATTGTCCTCTTGTGTATGTTTGTCATTCCCCATGCTTCGTCTCAACCTCGTCCCCGTGGCCGTGTGTGAACGGTCATTTTCTTCCCTGTGAGTTGTAATTGCTAACGCCCTCTGTACTGAAGCACTTGTGTTCCATTCCTACAGAAGCTGGAGAATTCTTAAGAGGATAATAACGAGGCCAACGATTTAAGAGAACAGCACTGTTATTTCGAAGTCAGTGCGTTCATCGATATACATTTCTCCAGCAAGCGATAGCCTGTCTTTCCGTGCTGGTCAGTGCTGCAGGGAGATCAGTTATTCATTACATAACGACATGTGTAATATCTGCTTAAAGGCTTTACTCAGCAGGCTGTGGTTTCCGCATGTCAAACATTAGCATCGTTGACTCTGTTTATAGCGCTGCTGTGGGCGGAGGAAAATAATGAAATAAACACTGAGACTGGAAGATATTAAAACAACTGTGTGGGTGTTGATTTGCTGAACTGTTTCAGAGGAAGACGCTGGGAAAATGATGTTGGCTCCCCCACTCAGTTTATAACTTCAACACTTTCCTGGAGAGTTTGTGGTTCATCAGTTTCCCGTCTTCTGCAGCAGAAGACGGTGATCTTTTACTTCATAGGTGAAGCTTTAATAAAACTGGAGTACAAGTACATGCAGTATACTGCAACCTAAACCTCTGCAGCCGGGTTCACGTTTGTCAGTTCAGTTGTCAACTGACTGACGTATGAACAGCTTAAGACGATAAAGGGTTGAAATACCCAGACATTGTCTTTGCCAGATGCAGGAGTTATGTTGTACAGGTTCATAAAATAACTGCGGGTGTTTCTGAGAGTCAGTCATTGTTGCAGTTTTAACAAAGGAACCAGAGCCACCAGATACAAATTGTGCAATGAAATGTAAATAACCTATTAGTTCAGGGAAAATTCCTAACTGTGCAAACAGAATAACAAAGCTGTTCAATGTCAGTGGCAATCGATGAACCGCTCCTCAGATATATTAGGTTATTATGCTGTTTCCAATTAGCCTATAAAACAAATGGAGAGCTTGACTGGAAGAAAGGAAAGGCTTCAGCTTTTTGTTATTTAGATGTAGAGGTTCAATGCTTTTGTCAGGTTTCTTCAGTTTTGTTCCAGCTAAATTCTGTGACTCACCAAAGTCAAGTTCAGTTTTAATATTGAAAACCTTTCGTAATAAATACATCTGACTGATTGTTTTGATGTCATCTGGACAAATGTCCTCCAGAGACGGTCCATAGTAAGTAAGTAAATAATGACATTTTTTTTTTGTAATTCATTAAACATTTAATAACAGCTATCAAAGTTTCTGCTGAAAATAAACCAATTGTGGGTTCCAGTGTGGGACACAGAGACAGGAATAAATGGTTTGAGACTTCCACAGAAAATAACACAAATCCCACAAAAGACTTCTCGTTTACTTTCTGTTTCTTGGCATATATACTTTAGCTCGTGCTGAAGCAGGCAGAATCATATCCTGTCTGTGACAGCCTTGGTGTTTACCCGTCTACTGATGGTTATCCACTGGCAGCTCATATACAGACTTTACTGTGACTTTAGTCTGGAACACTTTTTATATCACACTTCATGAATGCACCTGATGTTGGACCACAGTCCGAACCTGGAGTGTTTTATCATTCACTGCTCAGTCCAACCACCACACCTACAGTCGGTCATGCTACAGTCTTTGGGATTGTGCTCTGCATGAATTAATGTGCTGCGACTTTGAGAAACCCATGTCCTCTGCTTGCTGTGGGGTTTTATTAACAAACGTTTAAATAAAAACAAGGTGACTTCCACAGTTCAAGCTGTAGGTAAAACTACATTAGGGCGATCCCTTTGAATCAGCGTGTTGTGGTGTGCCTGCCTCCCTTTATAGCCCCAGCCTGCAAATGAGTCTGAATCAATTTCACACTCTGGTTAAAACGGGCCAATAAAAAGGAGGAGAAAAATGGAAGAAGTGAAGAAAAGAAGCTGTGCAGGAGGCTGTTCATGGCAGCATTAATCATTTGTGGCAACAAGAGGAGACGAGGCCGGTGCATAAGGTTCTCTGTTCCTGTCTCTCTAAACTGGTGATGTGACAATGTACAAAGTCTTTTTTTAAAATCTATTTAGAATGTGTTAATGTGTATAACACCTTGATGCAGTGTAACTATAAATTCTAGGCTTAAAAATATTTTGCTGCACTGTTGCTGCGGCCTTGAGGTGAATCACTGCTGTAGCTGTTTGGTGTTTGTAACTTACCTTATCCTCCATCCTGGAAGTGTTTGCTCCTAACGTGTGAAGCAATTGCACGTTTCTATGTTTGTGTTCTGTGAGAATAGTCCATCAAGTGGTTATCAGCCATTACATGAAAAAAAAAATACTCGGGTTAGAGTGAGGTTTTAAGGTTGAGGTGTGGGGTTGGGTGTGGTTGTGTGCTACTGGACGCCCATTTAACCTGTTTTCCTGCTGCAGTCAGATGATGACTGTGCTCCTTCACTATATTGTCTCTTTCTTCATTGCTCCGGCCTCAGATTCATTCAGTATACAACCTCGTTAGCTGTTACATTTGTTTGAGGAGCAGCAGGACATTAGCATTTAGATGTGCTGGCACCCTCGCCCGCTGCTGTCGGGCTGCCTCCACAATTCCACGGTGGTACATTTATTCCCGTTAAATGTCTTTGTCTGAGAGACATTTAAAAACCGTCTGCTGTTGCAGTGTCAAAAATATAAAGTTGAGGAGGAAGATGTATTTTTCATAAAATGCATCCCACCGCAGTCATCCAGGCGTGGTGGATACGTCTCAGACAGAATCTGATTTCCTTTCAAGTCACCAGCCTGTGTGTCATTACTGAGACAGACGGGTCTGTTGATGGACGCCGCAGATGATGGTTACCAAGACGGCAATAATTCTGATACCAGGAGAGAAACTGTCAAACAAATGTCCCCAATCTTGTTATTGTGATTCTGGAAAACAGAAATGACCCCAGCAGCCTCACCCACTCACAGCATGCCACAAACCATTTTTATTGTTGTGCCTCCATTCTTTAGAGAATATAAATGCTAATATTTTTATGTGTGTTAATTACAAAACACCTTGTGTCTATAATTTGCCAATAACACATAAAATAGCATCATTTTATAATGATGTTTAATGTACATTCTATTCATATTTCTGCTCTGTTCTGTTACAGACATTTATAGCATTTACATTTATTATAAGAAATACAAAAATGATGCGNTATAAGATATATATATATTATAAGAAATACAAAAATGATGCGCGGAACGCAGTCGTGTATTTTTAATTTTCTGTTTAAAATAAACACCTTCCCAGGGTGTTCTTAAATCTCCCATCCAACTTGGACACAGTTTATTTTGGTTCCTCCTGGCAGATATTTCTGCTGCCTCGACTGAAAAAGCTGCTGCCTCGAAGAGACGCTCTCTCAGTGGCTGCACTAGATACATTACGCAATGTGTGCAACACTTTAGCTCCATGCAATAACATGTCATTTTTTGCTACATTTTGTAAAACGTACCAATTGCAGTTGGGTCACTAGGTTGTACAGGAGACACAGTGCTGCTCTGTGAAGTCCGGTGTAGACATACAGTAGGAACAGCTTCGTCTCAGAGTCAATAAAGTCTTTACACTTAAATAATTACAACTGCAGGCCTAAATGTTTACATTTTAAGCATAAGTTAGTTTTGAATGTTTCTATCAGACAAAAACAATACTAGGAACTGCAGGCCTGTTTCTATCAGACAAAAACAATACTAGATTTATTATTTACTACAACAACATTTGTCATTTCTGCTGCTAAAGAAACTATTTTTTTGTTTTTTGTTCCCTTTAAAGATTTTATCTGCTGATGAAGTGATGAAAATGGCTCTTTGGTGCGGAAGGTCGCTGACTTCTGCCCTGGCACATGAATGTAATACTGTAATACTATGAACGACAGCATGCTCTGATTGGTCGTTGGTGTGTTGGTCTTGTAGGGAACATGTAAACAGGTGAGACTGTAAACCAGTGATCATTAATAATGCATGGGTGGCCCTGAAAGAGTCCAGGATCAGGGTAATTAGCTCCCCCTGTAGGTGGGCTGCAGGTGTTTGTGATGTTCTTTTACAGAAGTATTCTAAAACCTTTCGTCATTCTTTTCCACAACAGCGAGATGACGTCATCAGCGCACCTTTAGATCTGTTTTTGAGTTGAGAGAATCCTAAAGGTTTTCATACAGATGTCAGCAGTGACATCTGTAACTGCTGACGTGATATTTGGGGAATGGTCTCGTGAGATTCTTCTTTAGTGTACGATCAGAAGTCTTCAGTGCTCTACGTTTGGTGGGGGGATGTTAGCAGGCAGTCAGAGGAGAGTGATGTGAGGTAAAAAATGCAACTTTTAACCGGAGGTTGAGGCAAACTGAGTGTTCTGTATGCTGCCACAGAACCCTAATCATTCATGAGGGACACAGACATAAACTCCTGAATGATGAAGCCACAGATATCTGTTGCAGTAATATAATAATTTACAGGAGTTAATTAATGTATTCATAACTTTGTACAAAGCTAATGGTTTATATTTGGAAAATGACTTTTGCTTATACACTTTTAAAGAATTAGTAATGCACAATATAATCACGTCTTACATTTCCAGACATGGTTGTAGTGATGCTTCAACCATAAAGAATAGGATTGTAATGAGATTCATCCTAAAAGGTTAAATTTTAATGTGAAACATCTTGACATTGATGCTAAACATGAGACAGACTTTGTATTTAAAACTCTTCAAATATTTAAAGGTTTGCAAAAACAGCGTTAGCAGGAGCTGATGCTGTTTCCATCAGAGTCTGTGTTCTCTGGTTGTAATTATTGGTTCCACTACACTACACCCCTCCGGTGCTCCAGTGTTTGTTTGAAACACTACGTTATTTTGGGATGGCAGGGAGCAACCTTGTAAAATGTCGACGCAGTGTTAATGCCTGAAGAACAGCTTGTGCAGGGGTTTCAGAGGGAACAGTGGAGGAGCGGCCCTTGTCTCTCACGGAGAGGAGGGTGAGAAGTTTGGGATCAATGAGGATAGATTTCCTGCTGTAGAAGGGCACTGATGTGCTGAGCTCTCAGTATAAAGTGGGTTTTTGGTTCACGTGTCTTTTTTTTTTTCTGTCCTCATTGTCAAACGTTACTCTATTTACTACACATTTTTCATCAGTGAAACTCGGTAACAGTTGCTGGAAGCTTCATTATTCCTTCCATTCTCACTTTGTATTTACTTTGAACAGCACAACTACATAATCTGCTGTGTCCACCTGGTGCATATTTGTATATTTTTTATTTTGTTTTAAATATGTTCAGTGCTGACAGCTGGCTCTGCTGTGTCCTGGTGCATATTTGTATATATATATATTTTTTTAAATATGTTCAGTGCTGACAGCTGACACAGTTATTAGATTCTACCTGTCATGCAGCAGGTTCTAGGTTTAAATCTACCCTGGCTGCTTTTCCTGACTCTGGTAAAAAAAAAAAGAAAAAAGGCTGGCATTAGGAAGGGAGTCATAAAGCTTAAAAACAGCAAAGTCACTTTGTAATGTCGACAGAAGATCTATACCCAAAACCAGGCTTGTTTCAAACTTAGATACATAACTTTGTCATTTTCAGTTTCAATTTCAACTGGGCCACACAGTTTGAAAACCACTGCTTTACAGCAACAAGATCACTGCTGCACAAGTTGAATCCCCAGTTGATCTTTTTGAATTGAGTTTGTGAATGTGAGTTTGTGTTTGTCCCTATATGTGACCCTGCCATGGTCCAGCAAAATGTCCAGGGTGTACCCTGCCTTGGCTGGTACATAGCTGACTCTTTGCAAAGGAGTAAGCAGTAGATAGTGGATGGATGGATGTACATTTCTGTAAAATAAGGCCATGTATGGAGAATGTCTTGTTTCTCCTAAGGTGATTTAACATTATTAGCAATTTTCCCCATGCTGAACCATTCATTTCACACTTTGACTCTACAGTTAGTTGGGTCTTTTACGTTGCCTAGTCATCAGTGGACTTTTGAGAAGTAATGAGTCTTTGTCTTTTTTTTTCAAAACAGGTAAAAAGTACATATATTTATGTGTTCAAATGTAGGGAGTAAAAACAAAAACTAATGCGAAAAATAATGATTGTATTTGTATTTGTTTAGTTGGCATGTAAGCTAAAAAATAATTATTGTATTTGTTTAGTTGGCATGTAAGCTATAAAATATATAAACTGGAGCTCCCTCTGCTGTCCACAGTATTTGGCCACAGCCCAGTATGTGTGTGGGCTAACAGAGTATACTATAGATGTCCAAGTTTCACATTAGTTATAGCGCTGCATATGGGTCAGTACTGTAGGATATCTGGGCCACTGGTGATGCATCATTTCCATACCTCATATTTTTCACTTCAAAAGGAGGTTGTACACAGAGTTGCCACAACTTTACCCACAATTCCTACAGAATAGTAGTTGTTGTTGTGCTATAAAACCAGTCATTGGGGTGTTTTCACGGGTCACTCTTTTAAGATCAATAAAGATCTGTAAAACCAGTCACTCTTTTAAGATCAATAAAGATCTCCATCAAAAATAGTGTTTTGTAATAATTCACATGTTGTGAAGTGCAGTTTATGTTCCTGCAGCAGTTAAACAAACAGTTCCAATAACTCTGCTGTTGGAAACAGGGTCCTCTCTGATTCGTGCACTGCAGCAGCTTCAAGTATTCTTTGAAACTGTCTTTTTCCTCTGATGTTTTGTCTCCAACGCTGTAGCTGCACAGTGCGTTTGCTGCAGTGTGAGTTGGACCTGTGGGACGACTACAGGCCTCAGGGCTGTGTGGAAGTAGATGAAGTAGCTAGTGGATGGATGAGTGACTCATTATCAGTGTAAAGGCTTCTGATGCAGTCTCTCTGATGTGCTCCTCATTCATGTCAGGAGAAAAACACTTTCTGAGGACAAAAAGGTTTCTGAAAATAATATCATTCAAGACAGAAAAAAAAAAACAAGTGGTAAGAAGAAGTTACAGATAACACACGTCTTACGAGCATTTTGAAAAATATAATATGTCATATAGTCCTGTAGTTTTAGGTGTTGTGTTTTCCAGGCTGTTCCACACCGCAGTAATGGCAGCAGTTAAAGCAGTGTATCACTGGTCTATTATAACTGAAGAGATTAAAATTATAATTGAACCACACTCTAGTGTTTTAATATCACATTTCCATGATAAAGCACACTCGCAAATTACCATCGTAAGACATTTTAGTCTTTCAAAGATGAAAAGTAAAAATCTTAAAAGTGCGACTCATTAGTTCCCAGAAGATTCTTTGGGAACCAAAATCTCTTAACGGACTTTCTTATGTTAGTTGTCGTTAGATGTTTTCTTATGACTACTCACCAGTTTACCCCAAATGAACTTTTCTCTGCCAGCATGATGATGTCATGGTCTCTCATCATTCTCTCTCTCTCTCTCTCTCTTTCTCTCTCCCTTTTGTGTTTCAGGCCATTGCCTAAGCAATAAGCAGAGCTGCTCTGTGTCTCCACTACTCCCAGTAAGTCTCCTTTACTGTGACTTACTCCTGATTGGTTGCTATGCCAGGATAGTTTGAGTTTGGATCTTTGAGTCAGTGTCCAAATATTTTCCCATCAATAATGAAGATATGACAGAGTCCCAGTGTTTGTGTGTCTGTGCTAACAACACCACACTGATGGGAGTGATGGGAAAGTTGTACGACTAAATGAAAGGTGGTTTGGGCAGATGGTGATATTCCAGCTCCTAAATCTCTACTTTAACAGCCATAAATACACAATACATCTAAAATAGGTGAAACATTTCTTTGTCTCCCTTTTATTCCAGCTTTGTAGCATTTGCGTATTTATTTTCCGAGATCTGTTTTCCATCATTAGGATGTGATAGGTGTGGAGCAGCTGTTCTGCTGAAGAAGAGTAGGAATATGTGAAAACATCAGTTAAGTACAGGGTTTGTGAGCTTCTCATCATTTATTGAACTGCTGCTAAAATATTCATCCACCCTGATGGAGTGACATCCTCTTCAACAGAGCAGTGAGTCTGAATCTGTGAAATGACTTCAATAAGTTCACCTTGCTCTCTGCAATTTGAAATGAAGATGAGATTATGTAGAGAAACATCATCATTTTACAGTTTGGTTTTAAGGGGGTTTATTTTAGCATGTTGTAAGAAAACACTGTTCTATTTAAACAGACACGGTAGGATGTTTTTTAGGATGGAGAGAGGAGAAAGATCTGGTATAAAGATTCAAACAAATACTATTAAAAAAGATTATTAGTTATAGCTTATAAGTTTAAGGAGAGCTGGGCTGAAGATGATGTTTTATTGGCAGTGACCAGACTGGACTGGATTACTAATGACCAAGTCAGAGGAACAGCAGGGGTTAAACTGATTGATAAAGTTAGAGAGATAAGGTAAAGAAAGTTAGATGAGGGTGATCCCGGGTGAAAACTGAAGGAAGCAGCTGGTTACAAAGAAGGCAGAAAGAAGATGAAGATATATTTTTAAAAAAGAATAATAAAACAGTCAGACACAAGAAAGAGAGTAAGTTTAAGTTTTAAGTTTTAAGAGTGATAAAAACACATGTGGTCTATAGACTAGGATTGATTTTTAATAAAAACTCTTCACACTTGTGATTAATAATGTTTACATATAATGTGAAAATGTGAGGGTAGAGGCATAAATTGAAAAGTACGATGTGACAGATTCATAAATGGACTTAAAAAACTGTATTCATGAAAATATCAAAAGCTATTCCTCTGCATATCCTCTTTTTAAGCCTAAGCACTTCTGCAAGCGGCGTTTCCATCAAAGCATTCTTTCTTTGTAGAATTTTGAAAAGAAAAAGTCGAACCTGCTTTTTTCCCCTCATAGGTACTGAAAGTTAGGTTCCTTTTAAATTCTTTTTTTTTCTAATATAAATGTTTGAGGATAAAAAAAAAAAAACCTTGTTGAATAACACGTACCACGTTGAATAACACGTTGCTTGTCAAAGATAAAATCCAGTTGAGGCTAGCTAAAGACCAATCATGATTTTTCATAATTAATCATAATTAATCATTCGTAAATATGACCCAGAAATGCCATATTTCTGCAACAGAAAGAGGAAATGTTTGTGTTTCACACCTGTCCAAATGGTGGAAGTATTAACATGTCAATAACAACAGGATAGAAAGATAGATGTGCACTAGTGGTGGCTTAGTGGTTAAGGAGGCAGGGGTCTGGAAGGTTTAAGGTTCAAGTCCACCTGCTGCCAAGTTACCACTGAGGTGATCTGAGCGTGGTACCGTCCCTTAAAGCTGCCCACTGCTCACTTTGGTGATGGGTTAAAAACAGAGGTCACATTTGGTTGTGTGCAGTGGTGAGCTGTGTCACAATGACCAGTAGTTCACTTTCCTTTCCTATTGATAACTCTAAATTTAGACTCAGAGTTGGTGGATTTTAGTCACCACTGTGTGTCTGGACAGTGGCTTCTAGAACACGTTGAGAGTTGCCTTCAAGTCTTCAGTGATTGGACTCAACCATATTGATCAGTCTACAGTCATGGTCCAGTCCATGTGAGAACTGTGTCAGGCGGCTTGTCAGCTGTAAACTGACTTACTGCCCTGTGTTAGATGAGGTTGACCTGACACAAACCTCCAGACACACTGGCCGTCCTCATGGATCAAAAACTGTCCTGCAGTTTTGGGGGAAATCATTTGTGTATCGTGGATGTGTGGATGTGTAGTGGAATTATACTGTACACAGTTCACGTCATTCTGCCCATACATTAAGATGTGTTTCAAAGTTTAATCTGAGAAAACTTTTTTAATGACCAACAACAGAAGGTCAGCTCACATATAGACATTTATATTAGTCGTCAGCTCACTGGAATGTTACGGCTGTGGAACTGTATCTACAAACTGCCATCCCTGGCATTGATTCATTTCTCCACTGCTCTGACCTTTTATTGAATAAGTAAAAAAGCCACGGCAGTTATTTCGATGAGTAATTTGTACACACTGATGGAACTTAAATGCTGTCGTCTGGACATAAAACCCTAATTTACTGTTTGACTGTAGGGAATTATAGCTTTATCCAGTCACTTTACATATAAATCCTTTAAACTTCAGTTCAGTTTGTAAATACATCTATATTTCACAGTGTGTACGAGGAATCCGTGTTATCAACACTATTCATCTTCCACTTCCCATCGTTTTTGGGAGTAGTACACCGTGGAGCAGACAAATCACTTCTACTGACTTCATTTGAAGTCTGAAGCCTGTCAGTCGTGATCCCAGATCCCTGTGGTGTTTCTTATAGTCTGCAGTGTTTGTTTGAATCTTTTATCCCACCTCCCACTGGTTCAGACACCTGCTGTTTTAATTAGTTTTTAGAAGTACATAAAAAAATACTTTTTTTTTAATGGGGTTTTTGGTCATGTAAACAGTTCAGGTCACTGGCAGATCTGTTTTGTTGTAATAGTAATTCTGTTTAGCATTTAAAAGAGTAAGTCAAAAGGTTCTAAAAAACAAAAATCAGTGTGTTTATTAATAGAAATTATAAAAGTCATTTCTCATCATGTCCTCCATTCAAGTCTAAGCCATTCAGCAGGTGCAGTTTCCAACAGAGAAGGCCTTATCTGTGGTGTTCTAGCACAAGGTCAAAACCTGCTTCTTGACACCGAAGATTTAGATTTATTTAGAAAATGTAATAAAATTGGATGCTTGTTAGATTTTAAAATTCATAAAACCTGATCAAGTAAAACGACTTAACCATAGACATTGACAAACATAAACTGAGGACATTTTTGTTGCTGCAGAACGTAAACCCACATGAAGGACAAAACTGAGGACATTTTTGTTGAAACGATTCCTAAAGGCACTGCAGAACGTAAACCCACATGAAGGACATGATGTAACACACAACAACGGTGTAAGCCAGTGGTCAGGATCTACAGGTGGACCACAATGGGATCACAATTAAAATAAACCAAAAATATCAGTATAATTCTGTGGTATAGTAGTGACCAAAGACTGTGAGAATTAAACCATATAATGCCTTACAGCTATATTTACTTCATCAAGTATGTTCAGCTTATGGGAGCTAATATATATTTGACATTTTCAATGTTGGTTGATCACTTAAGCTTGCTCTTTTGAATAGTTGTCTCCAAGCCATAAAAGTGTGGGCGCCCCTGGTTTAAGCAGAGAGAAATAACAGTTTGGTGGAGCTTTCTTCCTTAATAGTTTTGTTGACAGAGCACAGTGATGGGAAGAACTGGGGAAAATGAAGGAAACTGTGAAATTGGATGGGTAGGTTGGTGGAAAGGATAACAACCTTCAAGGTTTAAAAGTTTTCCAATCCATGAGAGGTAGTTGCTGACAGGAATGACACGACATCTTTGCCCTCATGAAAGGCTGGAGTGACTCATGCCTGTTATTTAAATTGATATCCAGTCATCTCCTCAATCACAGGTGATTTAAAGAGAGGTAGATAGGAAATGGAGACAAATATATGAAAAAGACAAGGACTGCTAAGAGCAGGGCTATCACTGAGCCGCAGGATTCTCATTAACCAACAGTGGATCCTGTGTTCGGCAGAGCGAGACACTTCCCAAAGGAAATGCAGATTTTACAGATGGCAAACGTTAAAGCAGCATTGGATCATGCCTTGTTACATTGCAGACCTGCTTGTGTCAAACCACACTTTCTGCCATGATGGCTGTCTTCCTGTTTTCTTCTTCCACCTTCAGCATCATTACCATATCTTTGTAGTTGATTTCAAGAGACTCTCAGGCTTCCCTGTCTCCCCTGAAAGAACGTACTTTTGAAAAATAGATTACACTAACGCATGAAAAGGATGTTTTATGTTCCGGTTGATAGTGGAATTTGCCTGGGAATTCAGAAACCATACTTTGTTCATCTGTGAGTGAGTGTGTGTGTGTGTGTGCGTGTCAGTTGTATGCAGATTTCAATCTTCCGTGCCGACTTGTGTGTTTCCCTCTGGGTCAGTAAAGCAGAAAGGATGCTGGGAGAGTGTGACACCCGTTCCAGCTTCAGGAGGATTGATGTGACAATTTCACGCCTTAAACCTGCACACACACATTCACCCACCCCACTCAGGCAATCAGGTGCAGCAAACTGAAGCGACGGTGTCATCTTGCAAACATTGTCACACATACAACCCCGCAAATGCACACACCCGTGGGCTTGTGCACACTCAGATAAGCAAAATGTCAGTGCGACGTGGAAATAGAATTATTATCAAAACCAAGCTCCTCTGTGTCGGCCCGTCTCTTCTCCTTTGTTCTGGTCTCCTCCTCTGTGAAGCCGAGCAGACGCTGCCTGTGTGATTAATCCCTGGCCTTTCAGCTGGACAGAGGAGATACTGAACCAAACAATACGTTGGACAATGCTTGATGTGGTTGTTGTCTCGGTCTGTTTGTGGGATGAGCAGAAGAGGGAAGGTGGTGTCTCCATCCACCGTAGGCTGTCATCTGTTCTCAGAAATGTATTGGACGTCATTCAGATGTATGACCACA